GACTGAATTTGCACTTTTTCTGGCAGTCTGCAACCCCCCTGAGTCTATCCACCTGTAATGTGATCTTCCTCTTTTCCTACTCTTTTCCTTCACAGAAGACTCAGGTAAACAAACTGTAGCAGCTTCTCTTAGCTTGTGTGTTCTTTCTCATTTGTAACTTTTGACATCTTGAGCAAACTCTGATTTTGCTTGGCCACCCATCCCAGTTTTCATCTGTAAAATCTTGGAGAGAACTCATCTCCCCAGACTGTATCTCACCCAGTGCACTAACTGCCTTAAAGAAGTGCCAGCACAGTAAAAGAACAAGACTTGAGGCCCAAGAGAGGACTTCTTCCCTACGCAGTCAATGACTGAAACCTTACAGTAATGCAGAACCATTCAAGAGAGATGGAGGGGAAAGTGCCTCAAAGATTGAGGCTGGCAATGTAGTAGGGAACAGGCACAGAGTGGAAACAGAAAGAGTCTAACTGTGTATGTCCAAATTTTTCTTCTCATTGACTTCTATTAAAAATCAACTAACAGCTATAAACTTTTTTTCTGTTTGTCAAAGCTAATGCTGAAACCAGAGTTGATTTATTAGTCATTTTGTCTCATCTAAAATTTTATTTTAAAACCCTATGGATTGCATGGCAAACAAACCTGAGTGTTTTACAAAATGATTTTTTTAAAAAAAAAATGTCTAGAAAAGGGCCCCCTCTTTCTCCATATTGGTAGAAGCTTGGGTTTTCAGTTACCCAGAATGAGTTATTAAATAATAAATAAGGAGTTCCTAAATAACCCCTCTGAAGAAGCTTGCCAAGAAAATTTTATTATAGGTTTGCCTTAGGGTTGTCATGAGTTGGAAATGACATGAAGGCACACAACAACAACAATAACAACTATGTAGGAGTCAGTGTGATGTAGTGATTTGAGTGTTGGACTACAACTCTGGAGACCGGGTTCAAATTCCTGCTCAATCATAGAATTCTGCTGTGTAACCTTGGGCAAGTGACACTGTCTCAGCCTCAAGGAAAGACAATGGTGAACCCCCTCTGAACAACTCTTACCTAGAAAATCCCATGATAGGTTAATCATAGAATTTCCCTAAGTTAGAAATAACTTGAAGGCACAGAACAAATATGGGAGTTGAAAACAAACAAAGGGGTATCTGTAGTCTATCCTAACACTCAGGGTTGGAAGGCCAGACCCCAATGAGTTCTAATGGAGAGAAAGGTGCATTGTATTTTTTAAAGCAGATATTCCAGTTTTACAGAATCATCATCATCATCATCATCATCATCTTTTATTACGATCAACAGATCTGATAAGACATCCAAAACAACATCCAAAAGGAATAATTATGATTTTACAAAATCCCTATCAGACATACCACAGATAACAACAATATATTAGCAACAACAACAACAACAATCATGCTTTGTTCCTTGTTTTTATCCTTGTATAAGTGCTCATTTCTGCAAAGGAGTCCATAGTTCTGTTGTTGCTGCCAGTATGTGCCTTCAAGTGAAAGCTGACTTATGGTGAACTTATCCTATGGTTTTCTTAGCAAGATTTATTGAAAGGAGGCTTGCCATTGCCTTCCTGTAAGGCTGAGAGAGTGGAACTTGCCTAAAATCCTCAAGTGATTTTCTGTGGCTGAACAGGGATTCCAACTCTGGTTTTCCAAAGTGTAGTCCAGCACTCAACTCACAACATCACATTGGCTCTATTAGAATGTTTTCACACATGGGCCAGTTTCGTTGTTAAAGAGATAATAAAGTGGAAATGAAGCATCCCGAAAAGAAAGCAAAAATAGAGCTTAATTACGCAAAAGCTTTTCACATATAATTACAGTAATAACAGAATTAAGTTAAAAGCAAAAAAAAAGATGTTTTTAACTTTCATACACAAGTGAAAAGAACCCGTACATGTACTGGAAAAAGGAGGAGTTTGTTCATGAAACACACCCATTTCCAGTGGGTGTGTTTCGTGACCAAACTCCTTCTTTTTCCAGGAGGAAATGTCAGACTGTCCTACATTTGGGGTTATGTCCTCCTG